AAGAAGAGAGGAAAAATTAAGAAACAATTTAAAACCAAGGGAAGAAAAGGACAAAACTAAGAAGTCTACCCCACCTCCAATTTCAGAGTCTTGCTGGAAGGTGAAGCCATTTACCAAGACAGGACATATAGAAGTCAGTTGTTTTATGGGGGAAGAACTCAACTTTGGACATGTAGAATTTGAGTGCCTGAATGACACTCAGATGGAGGTATCTAGTAGGTTTTTAGACATGCAGTCCAAAAACTTAGAAAAAACCATCCAGACTGAACATAAAAATTGGTGCACCATGAGCCAGTATGGTAGACTATGGCCTTGAAAAATATCACCCAAGGAGACCCAAGAAGAATACCATGAAAATTACAGAAGGTCAAGGACTGAGTAATCTCCAAGGAGCCTGTAAAATAAGACCTGAACTTAAATTTGAGATTTTGAATTATTAGCATAGCCATTTGACATGTAAGAAACTTAGAGTCCAAATATCTTTTCTTAAAATTATAGCTTTTCATTTTTCCTTTGATTAATGAAGAAAAAAGCCTATATTTTCCAATGACGAAATTATAAATGATGGAAATTCTTATTCATGTAAGGCATTTCTCATTGCATACCATTTATTATAATTCACTAGAAATTCAATCATCTTCCCTTCCTAAATCTCAGCCAAAATAGGATTTGGGGTAGCTTCAGTATGATTCCAAGATTGTATCTCTCTACCATCTAGCTCAGCCATCACCTGGCTTTCAGTAGAACCAGAATGTGAATCTGTTGTAATACTAGATTTTGCGTGCACCTGGCAGAAATTCGGATGAGTATTACAGCATTTGACAGCAGGTGGCTGAAAGGAACTGGCAATTCTTTCAGTCCTGCCTGCTCATGAATTCTAGATACAGCAAGAACTGTAACAGGTAAAATTATATTTATGCTTAAGAAAGACTTCCTGAATTTTCAAATAACATGAATACATACAGTCCTATACTTCCCCAGGAATATATTTTTAATTTTGTCCCCAGCTTCCCAAGCTTACAATCCCGAGAATAAAATATTAAAAAGCAGAATGAGCTTCCATTTTTGTTGAAGTCACTGCAATGCAAATAAAAAGCTTATTGTAATTACATCTGGCAATGAAGTTACATTTAATAACTTTCAGACTCATGGCACCTAGCAGAGACTAGACTTTCAAAAAGCACAGAATAATAGACACTGACTACAAAGAACAGCAATATAAAACAAAGAAACTCAAAATAGTTCGCTTTATCCCTTAAAGGGGCACAAAGGTCTGAGATTTGTATGTAAATGCCTGAAAATAAGAGAATACCATTTATATAATCATTTATAGTTATTCAATGAATTTTTGTAATTCTAAATAAAAATTACATTCAGAAGACATGAAATACGGTTAAATGCTTCACAAAATCTGGGGGAAAAAATGTGTGCTTATACTCCCATATGCAGTACTTACCTGCTTGTATCTAAAGAAAGATGATCTTAAGATACATTCTCTCTCTTTTTTTTTTTTAGCTGCTCTGAAAGGAGCAGGGCTAACCTTAAGGCCAGAGTTGGCCTTAAGATGTATTCTTGAAATATACGTTTCTGTTTGTGGGAGCACTCAGAGATTACTAGAAGTTTTTAAAAGGAAAGTTTTCAAAAAATGGATAATGCTTTTCTTTGTTCTACACAAAAATCATGTTTAATCTTATTCGGAACAAAGATTAAAGCAGCTGAGTACAATCATTCTCTTTACAATTATAAAAAGTATCTAATTATCAGACACAGTTGAGCCAGAACAGATTACAGAAGACAAGCCTGATTTTCAAAACGAACATAAAAAACTGAAGAGACTCAGCAATGTACAGCCAAGTTAGTACACGAATTATTAGGTACCTACTAGGTGAAAAGCACTATGCTTTTCACCATGGGTGAAAGCAGTGGGAGAAACAAGAAGTAAAACATTCAATTTCTGTCGTTGGTCACAAATTTTAAGACCACTGTACAATAAGATTTAAAAAGCAACATGAGGCCAAGTACAATGGCTCACGCCTGTAATCCTAGCACTTTGGGAGGCCAAGGCAGGAGGATCACTTGAGCTCAGGAGTTTGAGACCAGCCTGGGCAACATAGTGAAACCCTGTCTCTATGTAAAAAAAAAAAAAAAAAAAAAAGCAACATGAAATTTTAGGCAACATATGCTTAAATATCAAATTAGTAATTTAAACAATAAGTAAGATCTGAGGAAAAATTACATCCAAGTTTTTTGAAGCTATTTCCAGTCCATGTAATTAGTGAACTATAGTTTTTACAACAAAAAGTTAATCAGATTCTTGAAATTATTGTAATTTTTTTTAAAGCAGTAGCAGAGGGATGACAGTTTATCTCTATGCAGGCCTTCCAGCTAGAGAAGAGGGAAAAGGAATAACTGGGTAGGAAATTAGACTAAATGATTATTTCCTTAAAGTCTACAGTTCTTCCTTAATTTAAGAAAGCATAAAATCTCGGCCAGGCGCGGTGGCTCACGCCTGTAATCCCAGCACTTTGGGAGGCCGAGGCGGGTGGATCACGAGGTCAGGAGATCAAGACCATCCTGGCTAACACGGTGAAACTCAGTCTCTACTAAAAATACAAAAAAATTAGCCAGGCATGGTGGCGGGCGCCTGTAGTCCCAGCTACTCGGGAGGCTGAGGCAGGAGAATGGCGTGAACCCAGGAGGCAGAGGTTGCAGTGAGCCGAGATCATGCCACTGCACTCCAGCCTGGGGGACAGAGCAAGACTCTGTCTCAAAAAAAAAAAAAAAAAAAGAAAAGTATAAAATCTCAAATACGATGTATACAAATAAACTCATAAAACACAAGTACTGTCTAAGATAGTGGTTTTCAAATTCTGATGAACATCTAAATAACCTGGATAACTTCTTAAACCATATAGATGCCTATGTAGTTAGTATCTCAAACCTTTGGAATCGGAACCTATAAAGATGAAGTGTATCTGTATCCTGAGAAAGCTCCCCAAGTGATTCTGATGAACAGCAAAGTGCTAAAATTAAGTTAAATGGTTAAGTACACACTCTTCAGTGGTAAGGAAATCTGAGTTCAAATGCCAATTCTAATATTTACTAGAGCCATGACTAACTAACTACCCACCCTAACACTATTTCTAATCTATAAAAAGGGGAAAAGCTAGCTATACCGCAAGTGATTGTTATAAGGATTAACGGTGATGATGAGGTAAATGTTTAGTACAATTACTGGCACATTCAGTAAGCATAAAATGAATTCATTTAACAAACATTCAGCACTTACACATCAGGAGATGAGGAAGGTCTAATTAATTTATTAAGTATTAATAAACATGGCAACTCTTCAATGGTGTGGTAAGAACATATAATCAGGAGAATCTATTCTAATCAGGAAAGTCTTCCCTGAAGTGAGCTGAATGATGAATAGGCATAATTGGCTAAAAAAAGAAAGGAAGGGCATTTCCAAGCAGAGGAAGTAGCATAACCAAAGCCACATACTTGAAGCAGGAGAACAGAAAAGACAGAGTGACTAGGGGAGACAGGGAATGTCGGAAAATACAGTGGAGATGAGATTGGAAAGGGGACCGACTATGCAGGGCTTGTAAGGCATGTTAATGTGTTCGATTTACTTAAAAATAGTGAGAAGCCACTGAAATATTTTAAACACAAAGACAATGTTATTAGGTCTACATTTTGAAAAAGTCACTAAGTCTGGTGTGGAAAACTACAGGAGACCACAGTAGATGCAAGCAGACCATAATCAGGAAGCTATGGAAGTGGTCAAGATGAGAGATGGCGGTGGCTTGGAACAGGAGGACTACTGTTACAGACGAAGAGTAGACAAGAGTCAAGAGATATTCAAGAGGCAAAATCAACAGGACTTCATGAGAGACTGAGTATGAGGCATGAGAGAGGAATTGTCAAACTTCAACTTCTATAGAAAAGAATGGATAGTGATGCTACCCACGGAGTTAAGCACAGTAAGAGGAGCTATTTTTCTTCTTGGGGTGAAGGAAGGGAGGTATATCATGAATTTCAAACATGTGAGTATGAGTAGTTATTCCCAGTAACAGGGTTGATCTGTACAGGAAGTATTCCATAGTACAGAAGTACAATGTGCCTGTATATATTTTATTGGGTATTTATGAATCTTAGAGACCAAATAGGTTTCTGCATGTGAGTAATGTAAACCTAAAAAGAATGAAGGCCCTCACCTTCCATTAGGTTCCCTTCCTTTACACAATCCCCCAAAAGCATTCTTTAAGATTACAGTTTAATGTTACCTCAATAAGTAATTTATATACTCAGCTGATTTCATTTTTAAATATTTTAAAAATATTTGTGCTAAAGAATAAGACAGCAAACCAAACAACAACAACAAACCTGCAAAGTCCAAAAGGAATCTTCAAGCATCTGACTTTCAAGCCATCACCAGAACATGATGGGGTTTTACAGTGACAGGCTGATTTGGAGCATTTTTGCTAAACTATTTATTTTTCAGAACGGAGACATGCTACTTAGAAAACTCACTCATAGAATCCAATGTTTTTAAAAAGTGTCATCACAAGTAATTCCTGAGTTTGACGTACTAAAAAACAGTTGACACCTTCCAATGAAGTCACTACAGGCATACAGCGCTTTTAAGCGGCTTGTCTGGAACCTCCTCGAGTGCTTTAGAGGGTGGATTTGATAATATGGTCTCCTTAATTACGGATCACAGGTATGTGCTCAGTCAGAGTCCAAGAAGTTTTTGCAAGCTTTATCGGTCTAAACCTTCCTCCATCCGTTCTCTTCCGCTGAGAAAAACAAGACTGCAGGAGTAACCGGTGGGGTTTTTTGTCTTAACAAAACACCTGCCCCACCCACCTCACACACAATAACCTTCCATTCCAGAACTAAAGCTACTGTCAGAGAAGGACTGCGGGCGGCAGGGCCCCGGCTGGTGACCCAAGCTACCGGATTCCAGATCTCAGAACTGAGGGGAGCTCTCTCACTCGGTCCTAGAGTAGTGTCCGATGTCCCCGAAAGGTACCACGTTCTCCACCACCGAAACCCGAGCTCCCCAGCCGGCATGGGGGGCTCTCCCTCCGGCAGCTGACTCCGATCCCCGGTCTCCCGTCGCCTCAAGGCCTCTTCCGAGGACTCGGCCCTCTCGGATCAGCTCCCCGGAGCTCGCTGCTCGCCCAGCCCTGCTTTGCGCGGGCGCCGACCGCCGATCGCCCGGCCGGCCGCCGGCAGGCCCGTCACCAGGCAACATTCACCAGCCCAGGCGGCCCTGGGAGGCCTACCCCGGGCGCGAGTCCTCCATTCCCTCCTCGCCGGCCCCGGGAGCCCAGGCGAGAGCGCGGCCGGTGAGGGAGGTTGCTCGGTGCCGGCGGCCGGTCACTTACCTCTTCCTTCTCCTTCCAGGAGGGGCGGTGCTGGGGCTCTTTCCCCCCGCCCCCCTAACAAACGCCGCCTGGCTATTCCTGCTTTGCCTTGGTGCCTGGCCGCTGACTCCGGCTTTACTCCATATCCTCCGCCGCCCCCGCGGCCGCAAACGTCGGAGCTGGAGGAGGGAAGGGGGTGAGGAGGGGAGGGACTGGGGACGAAGAGTAAGGGAGGGGGGAAAAGACTAAAAGACCTGCTGGCCGGGGGCATGACGTCACTTCCTGCTGGTTCGGAAGAGGCGGGGCCAGGACTTCTCTCCGCCCCCTGGTGTCAGTTGGGGGCGGGGCTATGGTGCCGGAGGAGAAACCAGCACGCGAGCTTATGGCGGTTCTTTTGACTCCGCGGTTCCGTAGACTTGGCAGTCAGAACGAGCTTCCGGGCCCAGGGCTGAACGGGCCAAGTTCCAGGAACCGTAGAGGTGGCTTCTGCCGGAAAAGGAGGACATGCAGCCCTGTATGTCCTAGCCAAAGGTGTAGTGAAGGTGGAGTGGGGAGCTGAGGGGAGCGGGCGGCTGGGACTCTGCTCCCGGTCCAGGGCCCCGCCCATTTCCTAGCCCGCCCCCTTCGTGGTCTCCCAGGCACTGGACTGGGGGACCCAGGACTGAGGCTTTTTAGGGGTTACTCTGGTGAAGTGCCCTTGGAGCATGCAGGAAAGCATTTTTTCCCAAACTTTAATATACATACGAATCCCTAGGATCTTGTGAAAATGCAGATTCTGATTGAGGAGTAGGGTCTGATAATCTGCGTTTCTAATACATGTCCAGATGGCACCAATGCTGCTGGTCCCTAGGCTACACTTAGAGCAACAAGGAGTTAAAGTACTAGAGGGCAAGTTCCTTGAGCTAGAGGAGTGATTTCTTTAATCTAGTCTACTTGTTTAATGAAGGTTAGAGAGGTAGATTGTCCATGGAAAACAGCTAGGCTCCACCGCTCTGTCTTCCGCCAACCCCTTCGAGTACCCTCCTGCCCAACTCCGCCCATCACTTTCTGGCCTCCCCTCCTCAGTCTCCGCTCTGCCCACAATGTCTGGGGATAAGATTTCTGGAGTGATTAGACGGGTGACTTCTGTTACAGAAGGAATTTGAGGGTAGTGGATTTTTGTCATTTTATCGTAAACATACGTGTAGTTGGGCATACCTTTTGCGGTTATACGTAGTCGGAGAAGAGAGCTTAAATTCTTGGATTCTACCCACTTCCCCCTGCAAATCTAGAAAAACATTCTAGATGTTCTAAGTTACTCCCTTATCATTCTTTAAATGTTTTAATTAAAATTTTACTGGGGTGGGGAAGAATGAAGAATGACTACGAACTATAGGTTTCTTTGTGGAATGATACAGTGGTCTGAAATTAGACAATAGTGATGGCTGTACAACTTTGTAAATGTACTAGAAAACACTGAATTGTACACTTTAAAAGGGTGAATTTTATGGCATGTGAACTATATCTCAGTAGTTTTTACTGTCTCCAGTTAATTAAAAAATGAATTTATATGTGCCCATTATAACAAGTCAGAAACATAGAATAAAAAATGATGTTAACTTGACTGGGCTCAAATGAAAAACATATATTAAAAAATGAACATCCTCTTTGATCAGCCACCATTACAATCCTTCTTCCCCAAGGTTACTCGTTTGAAGTTTATTCTTCCGGTTCTTTCTATTTATTTACATACATTTTTATGTAGGTTGGGAATTCATTTTTACCTAAGTAGGATGATAATATACAAGTTGTTCTGCTCAGCTCATTTTAAAAAAAATTTTGTTTTGGGTTTTTGTTTTTCCCTTCTAATGAGATCCTTGCACACTATAAACATAACTCTACTTCATTCTTTCTAATGGCTGGCTACTATTCTATAGTAAGGGTATATCATAATTTAACTATTTTTTTCAGGTAATAGACTGTTGTTGTTGTTTTTTTTTCCGTTGCCCAGGCTGAAGTGCAATGATGTGATCTCGGCTCACTGCAACCTCCACCTCCCGGGTTCAAGCAATTCTCCTGCCTCAGCTTCCCAGGTAGCTGGGATTACAGGCGCACGACACCATGCCCAGCTAAATTTTTTTGTGTTGTATTTTTAGTAGAGATAGGATTTCACCATGATGGCCAGCATAGTCTTGAACTCCTGACCTCCACCTGTCTCAGCCTCCCAAAGTGCTGGAATTACAGGCATGAGCCACTGAGCCTGGCCAACTGTTTTTGTTTCTAATTGAGAAATTAGAAACAAATTTCTGTTGCCCAGACTGGAGTGCAGTGTGGAGGTCACAGCTCACTGCAGCCTTGACCTCCCCGGCTCAAGTGATCCTCCCACCTCAGCCTCCTGAGCAGCTGGGACTATAGGAGCATGCCACCATGCCCCACCAATTTTTTGTATTTTTTATAGCATCTCCCTGTGTTGCCCAAGCTGGTCTTGAAATCCTGAGCTCATGCGATCCTTCTGCTTCAGCCTCCCAAAGTGGTGGGATTACAGGCATGAGCCACCACTGAACCTGGCCAGTAATGGACATTTTTATTGTTTTTAGGTTTTCATTATTTCTGAGCAATTTTTTTTTTTATTTTTGCCCAGAGAAGTGGGATTTCTTTTATTTGGAGACTAAGGTCAGCATGTGATAAGGACTGTTTTTTTTTCATTGCCCAATATGTTCATGTAAGATAAGGCACATCTTTATCTAAACCCCTTAATTGGGAGCAACAGTGGAAGCACTTTCTAGAGCCCAGTATCTCTGCAATGTTTGGTAGTTTCATTTCATAATTTAGATAATCGGGTTATATTCAAGTATTCAACTCAAGTGGGTATGTGACCCTCTGTTTCGTTTTTCAGCAAACTTTTTTTTTTTTTGGAGACAGAGTCTTGCTCTGTCACCAAGGCTGGAGTGCAGTGGCACAATTTCAGCTCACCGCAACCTCCACCTCCTGGGTTCAAGAGATTCTCCTGCCTCAGCCTGCCGAGTAAGTGGGATTACAGGCGCACGCCACCACACTCAGCTAATTTTTGTATTTTTAGGAGAGGCGGAGTCTCACCATGTTGGCCAGGCTGGTCTCGAACTCCTGACCTCAGGTGATCTGCCTGCCTTGGCTTCCCAAAGTGCTGGGATTACAGGTATGAGCCACTGTGCCTGGCCTCAGCAAACTTTTTAAACAGCTGCTTTAAACAATTAAAAAAAATTGATTATTTAGTTCATTGCCTTGATCTCCCTAATGAAGAGCTTACCATTGTTCAAAAGGGCAAAAAGAAAAGGCAGAGTTTGGTGAAGCCACAACTCTGTAATAATCAATACTCAAATGTATTTGCATTACTTTTAAATGTGCCCTAAAATAACATTCTTGAAGATTAAGTATAGCTAGTAGTTAGCCATGTAATAAGGGTATATAAATTCAGGTAATAATATATTTCACATCAGTAAAGCAAGTTCCTAGGTTTGCTCTGTTTTTATTGGCAGACCCACATGGTGCAACTGAGTAAATATACTATAGTTTATGTAAGATGTGAAATGACACATAAGAAGGATGTTAGCAGCAGATATGCCTTCAACAGGCATAAGGTTGTCAAAACTGAAAAGTTTGCATATTTTTGTATAATCTAGATTTGTTAGAAATGTATATTTAATTTTTTTCAGGACGCTCTGGTCCTTTTCAAGCTACTCAGCTATGGGATGGTATTATTCACTCTCTTCAGGCCCAAGTGAAAATAAAAAGAAGGAGGCATCGTTTACGAACATACGAAGACTGTTTTACTGGTTCTGCTGCTGTCAATGTGGTCTTAAGTCGTCATATGCAAAATACATGCCTAAGTAGCAATGACATCTCTCGTCTTAAAGGAGTTCGTCTTTGCCAAGTTCTAATGAATCACAAAGTATTTGAACCAGTAGGAATGAAGAAGCTTTTCAAAAAAGAAAAGGAATTGGAATTTGAAGATTCCAACAAGTCTCTACACGTTTCTAGGCAATAAATCATCTTACAATTGTTGCAAAAGACAAAAGGATGCTGAGAATGAGTTCAATGATGAAATAAAACCAAAAGAAACCTTGAAGTTAGTGTTACCTAAGATACTGTAATATATTTTATTTAGACCCTAGAAGAACTATCCTTATTGCGCTAAACTCGAATGTGTACTTTTTTTCAGAAGCCAATTAAAAAAAAATTCATGTAAAAATTAATACACTTACGCATCTCCTCTAAAACTGGAATGATGCAATAGACTAGAATTAGATAATAGTGATGGCTGCACAACTTTGTCAATGTACTGGAAAACATTGAGTTATACACTTTAAAAGGGTGACTTTTGGCCAGGCAGGGTGGCCCACGCTGAGGCGAGATGGACAGGAGTTCGAAACCAGCCTGGCCAATTTTTGCATTTTTAGTAGAAAATTTCTACTAAAAATTTCTACTAAAAATGCAAAGTAGAAAATTTCTACTAAAAATGCAAAAATTAGCGGGGTGTGGTGGCAGGTGCCTGTAATGCTAGCTATTCAAGTGGCTGAGTGAGGCACAAGAATCGCTTGAGCTAGGGAGGTGGAGGTTGCAGTTAGCCAAGATTGTGCCACTGTACTCCAGCCAGGGCAACACAGTGAGAATCTGTCTCAAAAAAAAAGTGAATTGTATAGTATGTAAATTATATCTTGGTAGTTTTTACTGTTCCCAATATAGCAGCATCTGTTGCTGTAACCAAAAATATATGTTATTTCTTTTCCTTTACAACATTTTGTTTTCCTTAGAGCAAATACATTTTTGTTTTCTGTTTTGCTTAGTTGTTTGAAGACATTATCACATACATTTTTCAGAATTTATACCAGGAAAAACTATGTCTTCTAAGGAATGGATATGCTTTCTAATTTTGAAAAATGACTTAGCCAATGTATTAAAAGCCAAGGTTTTCTGGAAACTCAGATCAAAAACTTTCTCTTCCATCATAACAACTATGTTAACCTTAGAATTAGCATATATGCTTTTCTTCTTGATTTAGAATTCTAATTTGTCCTCTTTTGGTGATAGTCTATTAAATGAATTATTTTCATATTTTATTATAAGCTGCCTGAAATCCTTTTTGGAAATAGAGAATGTATGAATAAATTTTAATACATTAATTTAAATGTATATTTGAAATTTTGGTTCTGTGTATAATGAAAAGAGCCACATATTATTTTTTAACAGACCAGAATATGAAATGATTTCAAATCCTCTAGCACAAGAGATTGGTGAGGAAAGAATTGAGGAACTTATTCATACAATAAATGGGAATCCAGCTTTATGTCCAAATATCACAGTTCAGAAACCTTTTCTCCGGCTTTCAAAAGAAGGTAATTTGTTTTCATTATTGTTTTCAGAACTTGGTAAGGAAGAACTAACTTCTTTTTAACAGGTTCTTATGAGCAGTTTCAAGGTCACAGCAAAATAGAGCAGAAAGTACAGTTCCCACATACCCCTTGCTTCCACTCACACACAACCTTCCCCATTATCAACATCCTGCACCGAAGTGGTGCTTTCGTTATAATCAATGAATCTACATTGATACATCATTATCACCCAAAGCCCATAGTTTACATTAAGGCTCAGTCTTGGTATTGTACATTCTATGGGTTTGTATAAATTTTTGATGACATATATCTGTCATTATAGTATCATACAGAATAGTGTCACTGCCCTAAAAATTCTCTGTGCTTCATCTACTCATTCCTCCCTTCTCTCTAACCTTAGGTGATCGCTAATACTTTTACTGTTTCCAAGAACTGACGTTTTAAATGTGATTTAAGTAGTGTATTAGTGTGTTGACTCCCTCCTCTTCCCTGTAGGAGTTTTCTTCTACAGAGCAATTACATCAGGTAAGACAGGTGAGGCAATATACATATAGTAACACTTAATTCATTTTTTACAATGACCATGACCAGATTAACTGGAGGTGCTATAGTCTGTACTATGAGAGAAAACATACGGACTCACCACAGTCCTTAGTATTTGTACTGCAAGACCATCTTCTTATGAGTGTATCCTTTGTCCATTGTATAAATTCCTCCCAAACATCTTCCTACTCTTTCCCTTTCTCAGAACAAACTAGCTAGACTACCTATTGCACCCCTCCCCTTTACTATTTACTTCATCTACTAGTGTTTCTCTCCTTAAAATGCCACTAATGGCAGAAAAAAGAGCACCGTAGCCAGGGCAGTTAGGAGAGATATATACAAAATTCATTAATGGCCCTTTACTCCATTTGGTCAAACCATGACCAGAAGCAAGACTAGTCATGACTTGCATGCTGGAGGAGTATGATTTATCAACAATAGTTAACATTGGCATGATAAAGGAAATACAGGGTGCCCAAAGAAAGGGTGTGGAATTAAGAAGAGGAACTAAAAGATAACTCTCTCTCTCTTTTTTTTTTTTTTTTTTTTGAGACGGAGTCTCGCTCAACATTGCCCAGGCTGGAGTGCAGTGGTGTGATCTTGGCTCACTCCAACCTCCAAGTGATTCTCCTGCCTCAACCTCCAGAGTAGCTGGGACTATAGGTGCCCACCACCACACCCGGCTAATTTTTGTATTTTTAGTAGACACGGGGTTTCACCATGTTGGCCAGGCTGGTCTTGAACTCCTGACCTCAAGTGATCCACCTGCCTCAGCCTCCCAAAGTGCTGGTATTACAGGCGTGAGCCACCTCGGCTGGCCATTGAGACACAGTTTCACTCTTTCGCCCAGGCAGTAATTTGTATATATTTTTCTCTCTTATTGTTCATATTTTGGGGATTTTTTTGTTTTACCTACTAGGAAGTATCTTCAAATGTATCCTCCAGTTTTCTTACTGATACCTAAAAGCACTTTTCATTTTTTTCTTCTTTTTTTACTTTTTCCTGAAAGCACTTTTAACTTCTCAGAATTTCCTTTCTTGTGGCATCCTATTTTTGTTTTATGGTTGCTTGTTTTGTTTACCTTTATATCCCTGGCACTTAGAACAGGAGTTTGAGACTGCAGTGAGCTATGATCATATTATGGCACTCCAGCCTGGATGACAGAGCAAGACCCTATCTATCTATCTATCTATCTATCTATCTATACATTTTAGAATTTCACATGAAATCTCCCATTTTTATACATTAATTTTCTTCAAAGTACTTTATAACCAAGCAAATCGTGGCTGTGGGCCAAATTTAGTCCACAGGCCACTGGCCTGGGAGCTCTGCAGGAAACTTACTATAACATTGCTTTTGTAATTTTGTTAGATTAAAGGAAAACCAGGCTGGTCCAAGTGCAATGGTATTTACAACTAATTGATTACAACCAGTTACAGATTTCTTTGTTCCTTCTCCACTTCCACTGCTTCACTTGACTAGCCTTAAAAAATAAAAGATAGGTCGGGCACAGTGGCTCACGCCTGTAATCTCAGCACTTTGGGAGGCCAAGGCAGGCAGATCACCTGAGGTCGGGAGTTTAAGACCAGCCTGACCAACATGGAGAAACCCTGTCTTTACTAAAAACATAAAATTAGCCATGCGTGGTGGTGCATGCCTGTAATCCCAGCTCCTCAGTAGGCTGAGGCAGGAGAAATCACCTGAACCCAGGAGGCGGAGGCTGTGGTGTGCCATTGCACTCCAGCCTGAGCAATAAGAGCAAAACTCCATCTCAAAAATAAATAAATAAATAAAAACAGGCCGGGTGCGGTGGCTCACACCTGTAATCCCAGCGCTTTGGGAGGCCAAGGCAGGTGGATCACTTGAGGTCAGAAGTTTGAGACCAGCCTGGCCAACATGGTGAAACCCCATCTCTACTAAAAATACAAAAATTAGTCTGGTGTGGTGGTGCACACCTGTAGTCCCAGCTACTCTGGAGGCTGAGGCAGGAGAATCGCTTCGGCAGGGGAGGTAGAGGTTGCAGTGAGCCGAGACTGCACCACTGCATTCCAACCTGGGCAGAGTGACACTCTGTCTCAAAAAATAAGTAAATAAATAAAAATAAAATAAAAATAAAGGAAAAACAAAGTATTAATTATGATGATGGTTAGGGTGATGAAAAACTTAACAGGAACTTAATAGGAATGACTGGAAATCTAAGATAAAATTGGCCTAATACTGTATTTTAGTTTAAAAACAACGAACTACAATTATCTGTGTTACTATAAATAGAAAGATAAATAGTAATCTTATATTCTTTCAGATGTATAATATAAGTTATAAGCATGACTAGTAGTTTTTTATATTTGGAATATGTCTTTATGATCAGCATAACAAAAAATTAATATGTCTCATAACTCTGATGTTTAAGATCAATCTTGAAAAATTGTAATATAACAAGTGTAAATTATCTAATCATTAAATTAACCCATTATATTACTACTGAACTAGTTTTGCTTTTGTATTATTTAGAAATAGAATTATTTTATAATATTGGTTGAATGTGTATGTTTTATTTGCCAATCTTGATCATTGCATTACTTTCCCTTTCAAGTTATACAAGATGTTTGGAAAGAACAAACATTATTACGTCTTCTTTGATCGATTCACCTTCCATTCTTGGACAATATTTTGGAGCCTCCAGTTAAAACACAAAATCTTCTATTAAACAAAGAGGAAGATCTTGTTACCGCTAATACATGCCTAGACAGAGAACTTATTCCAAGTTTATGTCTACTGAATAAGTGACCGTTTTTATTGTCAAATAATTTATAAACAGTTTTTTTTCACATATTTGCCCTTGCTATTTTAAAATGTGAGAAAATATTCATGTTATAAGCTGATACCATCTCTCTTTTATAAATTATCATTATGAATCCCCATTTGATCTAACAAAGCCATCGGTCATGACCTACAAGATCACTGGAAATCAGAGTGGTTTGGTTCATATGAATTCATTTATATGTCAGTCGTCTTCTCTCTGCACCATCCAAAATTCTGTCATTTCCATTTTATTATCCTAAATAATATAGCCATCCCAGTTTCTACCAGCTTATTTATCCCTGCCCTAGAAGAATCCATAGTCTAGAAGGGGAGACATACATGAGAGAAAAAATTATAATCTGATGAGATAAGCCCTATCATAACATCAGCCTAATTTGTAGATAAGAGATTAAAGGAACCCTGAATGAGCCTCCTTTCCCGTTTACTCCCAACTCCAAGCTATTTCTCACTTCTGAATAAAGCAGCTGATGGAAACTATAGGCATTAGACCTTGAGTACTATTGGGATTCCAGCAGGGAGAACTGATATAGTGCTTCCTCCTATGTGAGCCAAACAAGAAAAGAAGATTAGACACCAAAGCTGAGGACCAGAAAACGTCGTATCTTGTGAAGAGATTAGTGATCAGAGACCTCTGGACCCTCTTAGTCAACTGTGGTCCTGTTTGTACATGGCAGATTTCTCCTATTCGCAATAGGCCAAGAAAGACCCAAACGGCCGGGCGCGGTGGCTCAAACCTGTAATCCCAGCACTTTGGGAGGCCGAGACGGGCAGATCACGAGGTCAGGAGATCGAGACCATCCTTGCTAACACAGTGAAACCCCGTCTCTACTAAAAAAAAAATACAAAAAACTAGCTGGGCGAGGTGGCGGGCGCCTGTAGTCCTAGCTACTCGGGAGGCTGAGGCATGAGAATGGCGTAAACCCGGGAGGCGGAGCTTGCAGTGAGCTGAGATGGGGCCACTGCACTCCAGCCCGGGCGACAGAGCGAGACTCCGTCTCAAAAAAAAAAAAAAAAAAAAAAAGAAAGACCCAAACAAAGGGCTGAGTCTTCCTGCCCTTGAGTCAGGGGTAGTATAGGGACACCAGAAAAGAAACAGGATTTCTGCAGGTGCCTCTTCAGGGAACCCACAGGAGCCAGTCTGCCTTAAAAAGCTTCCAGGCAGAAGGGGCAGGTTATCTGTAAGAGAAAAGCAATCAAACTTTCATTAGTCTTTTCATCTGCAATACTAGGATCTAGAAGACAATCACACATATTAGGCAAGATGTACTATTCATCTGTCAGGAGAAAAAAAAGAGAAAGAAGGAAAGAAGGGCCAAAGGGCCTGTAATCCCAGCAACTTGGGAGGCTAAGGTGAGAAGATTGCTTGAAGCCAGGAATTCAAGGAAGACAACATAGCGAGACCCTGTCTCTCTAAAAAAAAAAAAAAAAATTTTAATTAGCTAGGCATGACAGCACATGTCTGTAGTCTCAGCTGCCCAAGAAGCTGAGGTGAAAGGATCACATGAGCCCAGGAGTTGGAAGTTAGAGCGAGCTATGACTATGTCACTGCACTCTAGCTGGGTGACATAGCGGGACCCTGTGTCATATTTAAAAAAGAAGAAAGAGAGGGAAGGAGGGAGGGAGAAAGAAAGGAACAAAAGGAGAGAGGGAGGGAGGGAGGAAGGAAAGAAAGATATTTGAGGATTATAAAGAATTCAGGCCAGGCACAATTGACCACACCTATAATCCTAGCACTTTGGAAGCCCAAGGCAGATGGATCACTTGAGTCCAGAAGTTTGAGACCAGCCTGAGCAACCACAGCAAAACCCCATCTCTATAAAAAATACAAAAATTAGTCGGGCGTGATGGTGCACGCCTATAGTCCCAGCTACTCGGGAGGCTGAAGTGAGAGGATTGCTTGAGCCCAGGAGGTAGAGGTTGCAGTGAGCCGAGATCATGCCACTGTACTCCAGCCTTGGCAACAGAGTAAGACCCTGCACCAAAAAAAAAAAAAAAAAAAAAAAAAAAAAAAAAAAAAAGTCAAAAAAAAGGGACATACCCTTAAGGGAAATTACAATAAATACTAACCTATCTTGACAAAACCTGGGGATTGGGAGGGCAGCAGATATGGAAAAGGGAGAAATAAAGGCCTTCTAAAGGAGTCACTGGAGGGCAGGGGTGACAGGACCCTAAATTTCTTATCTTACTGTGGAAACAATGTATGGTGGGGTAAACAGTACATCTAGGTTGGGGAAATATTTGGTATCTTATTTTCAAATAATAATAGAACCATATGCATCTCATCGGAGCAGGAAAAGGGAGGGTAACTGCTAACAAAATTAGAAATAATAATAAAGCGTTCATTAAAAATTATTTTAACTTCTTGAAAATAAAGGTCCGTAAAGGTGTGGTGGTATTCAGTAAGGAATACAGCCATTCCCTCTCATACAGTCCTTCACTCATCCAGCGAAATGTATTGAAATGCTTCTCCCAAAAAATAATTTCTTTAGATTTATCTAGCTTTAATAAGCTAGTTTTTATCATGTTTTATCAAATAGTGCTCTAGTTAAATGGAAATGTTAACCGTTGCTTTATTTTGGTTTGCATTTTCCCTCTAGGATCAATAACTAGCTTAATGCAGCAATTGAATGCTTGGAGTATTTCCCTGACCAGTTAGTAGTTATAGTTAGCAGTTACTGCAAAACAGAAATGAAGAGACAAGATTGAACAGTCAGAAGATACTCTTTGATGTCATAGCAAAATACTATGCTCAAGAGAGAGATTGCCTATTAACTGATGAGTATTTTGATATTCATTCAGGAATTATTGAACTTTTAGGTAAGACAGGATGTTTATACTTTAATTTTTAGTGTAATAAAATATTTTAAAATATACAAGTTGAAATAGAAAATTGTGTATACTCTATGAGTATTACATTTTAATATTTTTCTTCTCTGATGTCAAGGTACTTCAGGACGTCTTGTTTTACTTCACTACTATTGCCTACCTTGTAAATTCTATTATCAAATGTAACTAATATAGTATAGTGCATAAATCTAAGGAATACATCACAGAGCATCGCAGGGACATTCTAAGAAACATGATATAGCCGGGCGTGGTGACTCATACCTGTAATCTCAGCATTTTGGGAGGCCGAGGCAGGGTGAGTCACCTGAGGTCAGGAGTTCGAGATCAGCCTGGCCAACATGGTGAAACCCCGTCTCTACTAAAAATACCAAAAATTAGCCAGGTGTAGTGGCGGGTGCCTGTAGTCGCAGCTACTCTGGAGGCTAAGGCAGGAGAATGGCATGAACCCGGGAGGCAAAGCTTGTCGTGAGCCGAGATCGTGCCACTGCACTCCAGCCTGGGTGACAGAGCGAGACTCCGTCTCAAAAAAAAAAAAAAAAAAAAGAAAGAAAAAAGCATATGATATAGTATAAGGATTTAAGAACTGAGGTACCTAGAAATACTAACTTCTGAGTTATTAATTTGATAAACTTTCAGCAAAATAAAAAGTGAATGACATGTCATTTTTTAGCTATGTAAGTGGCCATAAAATTTCATGTTAAAAACAAAATAATGTTCGATAATGCTGGATATAGCTACATCGCATATTACATAGAATTATATAGATAATTTCCTGTGTTTGAAATATTCCGTAATAAAAAGTTTTAATTGTAGAAAAGAACCTGCAAACCAATACAACATTGTAGCATTTTAATTGACTACTAAATAAATACATACTATACTCTCCATTTTTCATCTTATGCTTTGTTTTCTTTGTAACCCATATAACAGAAAATGAGAAAAGGGCAGAAGCACTTGAAGCAATACAACTATATCTAAGATTGCTGTTGCCGAACATTAGAGAAGAATTACGATGGTTACTTACTTTCATGGCGTGGCGTCAGAGCCCAATGCCTACAAGTTGCAAAAACAGGTGAAAAATTTTGCAATAAGTTTTACCATTTTTTTGCTATTTTTTTCCTTTAAAAACCATTTATGCTAATGTTAATGTTTCTGTTTACAGTATGATAATAAAACAGTGGTCCTGAAAACTCTTGCCAAATCAGTTTTGCAGACCAAATCATTATTAAAAGTGTGGGCAGAACAACTGGTCTGGTTTCTACTGGAGTACCACTCTGAGCTCTTCAAGGTATCTCTGGCATTTTGCCTGGGCACTTTTATTACTAAGCTACTTGTGTCAAGCAAAAAAGAAAATCATTCACTTAGTAAATAATTTACTAAGTACCTATAATGTGCAAAGTTTAAAGAAATGCTGACTCCCCACACCCATAAAAGAGAAGGAAGGAGACTTAAAACCATTTTGTTGGCTGGGCACAGTGGCTCTTACTTGTAATCTCAGCACTTTGGGAGGCCAAGGCAGGTGGATCACTAGAGCCTAGGAGTTCGAGACCAGCCTGGGCAACATAGCAAAACCCCATCTATACAGAAAAATAACAGACTGAGCACAGTGGCTCATGCCTGTAATCCCAGCATTTTGGGAGGCCCAGGTGGGTGGATCACCTGAGGTCAGGAGTTCGAGACCACCCTGGGCAACGTGGCAGAACCCCGTCTCTATTAAAAATACAAAAATTAGCCAGGTGTGGTGGCCCATGCTTGTAATCCCAGCTACTCAGGAGACTGAAGCAGGAGAATCGCTTGAACCTGGGAGGCAGAGGTTGCAGTAAGCCAAGACTGCGTCACTGCACTCCAGCCTGGGCAACAGAACAAGACTCTGTCTCAAAAAAAAAAAAAAAAAAAAAAAAGCAAGTCGTGGTGGCACACACCTGTGGTCCCAGCTACTAGGGAGGCTGAGGTGGAGGGTCAGTTGAGCCCGTGAGGTTGACGCTGCAGTGATCCGTAATCACGCCATTGCACTCCAGCGTGGGTGACAGAGTGAGACTCTGTCTCAAAACAAAACAAAACACTTAGGAGTAGCAGCAGCATTAGTAAAACATGGTCTTAATATATTTTGAAGCATTTTTGAAAGATATTTTTTGTAGCCTCACTATTATATTTTAGTACCAGATAATAGTATGAATACTTTTAATGGTGTTATTTCTCCAAAGCCTCTATAAAGAATTCTCTTTCTTCTGTTTCCTTGCTTAAAAATGTGTTTAACTGGGCACAGTGATACATGCCTTTAACCCCAGCTACTCTGGAGGCTGGGGTGGGATGACTTGAGCCCAGGAGTTTTCAACTAGCCTGGGCAACATTGCAAGACCCCATTTTATTTTTAAAAAATTTTTTGTCTCATGTCATAATGCAACATACTGATCCGAATTTTGTAACAGTTCTGTGACCTTAACTGAACTTTTTTTCCCCTTATTTACAAGAAAAAGGTGGCACTAAGTATATACAATAGAGGCAGTCTCCATTAACATTAAACATTTAAAAATGTTTCATTCCCCTGAATTTTGAATGAAACATATTTTTAAAGGTCATTTGTAAGTCAATTGTTAGGTACTCTACACCTAGTTTTTCATCCAAATAAATAAATAACAGATGGTAGTAAGGGCCCAGGTTATGTAAATGTTTAATACTACAGTCACTAAAGTAAAATTCTCATATGTAGTTTTTCTCATATGTAGTTTACCTGCCAAAATGGGTCCCAGATTTCAACTAGCAATTTAGAAAGAACACTTCCTCTCCTCTCTCCTCTTCTGTACTACTCAGCCTCTCTCTGCTTTCTTCTTTCTCACTCTACCCCCTCCTCTGCATAAATGAATCTGCCTCTTTCCTACATGTGGTACAGATATTAGGAAGGATTTTTTTCATCTTTCTACCTCCCCCTTTATGTTCAAACTAGCAGTGTCATAAGGAAACATACTAGTTCAGGTCAGGTGCAGTGGCTCATGCCTGTAATCCCAGCATTTTGGGAGGCCAAGGTGGGTAGATCACTGGAAGTCAGGAGTTCGAGACCAGCCTGGCCAACATGGTGAAACCCAGTCTCTACTAAAAATACAAAAAAATTAGCCAGGCGTAGCAGCAGGCACCTGTAATCCCAGCTACTTGGGAGGCAGAGGCAGGAGAATCGCTTGAACCCGGGAGGCGGAGGCTGCAGAGAGCCAAGATCGTGCCGCTACACTCCAGCCTGAGCGACAGCACGAGACTCCATCTAAAAAAACAGAAACATACTGGTTCAAGTTTTGTACCAGGCCACAAATGGAGAAAAGCAACTTGACATGGGCTGGAGGAAGTGGGGGTATGAGAATCAGGAAGTGGGGAGAAGGGCCCTGATGGTTGGTTTCTAGAGATTAGAGGCTGATGTATTTCAGGGAGGCTGAGGTGGGGATATTTATGATAGGGGCTCTGGAACGTGCCACGCTTGTTCCTGTTACAGAGCTTTCCCTGTTCTGTTTACCTTTGACCGCTGCTTTCACTCTAGCCTCTTTCTCTACTTTGTTTTCATAGTGGCACTTACCACTACCTGAAATTATATGTATTATGTATTTGCCTATTTTGTTGTTGTTGTTGTTGTTAAATTGTCTTTCCTATGAGAATGTAACTTCCCATAAATTCGGGAACTTGATCTATTCATTCATCACCTGTAACAGTACCTGGTACATAACAATCACTCACTCAATTTTTATTGAATGACAGAATGAATTAATGGGGACAGCTTCATGGCTGGAAAGTGACAGGACGAGTGGAAGCTAATGAAAAGGTAGCCTGTGAGCCAGGATGAAGGAGCTATCTAGACCTGAGCTTTGGGATTGTAGGGCTAGGGCATGCCCTCTGTAACAGTATTAGTCAATGGATTATTTCTCCAGATATGTGTAGTAGTCTGGGATTACCTTTGCTATAACCAAATTAGAAAAGAAATAGATACCTATTTTGTTTGGGGATTTTTTTTGTTGTTATTAGAGACAGGATCTCGCTGTGTTGCCCAGACGAGTCTTGAACTTCTGGACTCAAGTGATCCTCCCACTTCAGCCTCCCAAAGTACTGGGATTACAGGTGTGAGCCACCATGGCTGGCCTATTTGCCTATTTTAAGATAAAAATTTTAATGTATTTTAGAGCTACTATTTACATATGTACTGTGTAATGTTATTTAAATAAATGCTGTAATTAAAGTACAAATAATTTTTATTGTTATAGAAGAACATTTCACTAATGATGGGTTAACCTAATTTTATTTTATTTTATTTTTATTATTATTATTTTTTTTTGAGACGGAGTCTCACGCTGTCGCCCAGGCTGGAGTGCAGTGGCCGGATCTCAGCTCACTGCAAGCTCCGCCTCCCGGGTTTGTGCCATTCTCCTGCCTCAGCCTCCCGAGTAGCTGGGACTACAGGCGCCCGCCACCTTGCCCGGCTAATTTTTTGTATTTTTTAGTGGAGACGGGGTTTCACTGTGTTAGCCAGGATGGTGTCGATCTCCTGACCTCGTGATCCGCCCGTCTCGGCCTCCCAAAGTGCTGGGATTACAGGCTTGAGCCACCGCGCCCGGCGTAACCTAATTTTAAATATAATACATACATGAAAGCAGAAAATAAGATTTTAAGAGTGCTAAAAAAATTTCAAGAATTTATAATTCAGAGGCCTTCTACCACCCACCCTTTCCACTCATCTACGATCCTCTCCCTCTACTCATTGGTCAAAAATATGGAGATGTTTTTCTTTCTATGTTGAAATGCTGGCTAGAAAAAATTATATTAAATATTTGAAAATACCTGTTTTGTGTAGACACCAGTTACTTTTATTGGATCTGGTTAGTAAGAAACTTAAGAAGCTTCTACATGGAGAAGATGCACATGCCATATCAGGTATGGATTCCAGCTTGTTCCTCCTTTATCGTTAAGTGACTGTTGTGGCCAAATGAGTTGGGAAGGCATCAAAGATGAGTATGTAATAAATGTATGTAAAATGTTGTAAAAAGTGGTTATAGTAAGGTTATTTTTTAGTATCTCCTGGGCAAGTTCTTCTCTAGTCCTTTTTTGAAGCCCTTTATTTACCTTTTCTACTAAGAAGGCAAGAACTTTCTGTCTCTCACAGCTGCTCCAAGTTCTCACCTCCCCTTCAATTATCACCCACGTGCCTGCTTCTTTGCTCCTGTGCTCTCTGTTGTGTCTTTTTCTGACTCTCTCAGATTCTTTTTCTTGTTTTTCATCCTCTCTCCCTTGCTCCCTTCTTTTCTAGGAGAAGGATCAAATTTTATAGAGGAGTAGCCTGACTCCCAGTTGAATAGAGTCCATGATTTCATTCAGTGTCTTTAGGCTGTTGGTCTTATTATTATTATTTTTTTTTGAGACGGAGTTTTGCTCTGGTTGCCCAGGCTGGAGTGCAGTGGCGCAATCTCGGCTCACTGCAACCTCCGCATTCCGGTTTCAAGCGATTCTCCTGCCTCAGCCTCCCAAGTAGCTGGGATTACAGGCTCCTGCCACCACGCCCAGCTACTTTTTTTGTATTTTTAGTAGAGATGGGGTTTCACCATGTTGGTCAGGCTGCTCTTGAACTGCTGACTTTGTGATCCACCTGCCTCGGCCTCCCAAAGTGCTGGGATTATGGGCGTGAGCCACCGCGCCTGGCCCTAATTGGTCTGATTCTTTAACTTATAACTGTTTAAAACTATAACATATTTTTAATCCAAGTTTATTAAGATTGTCATGCGGCCAGGCGCGATGGCTCAAGCCTATAATCCCAGCACTTTGGGAGGCCGAGACGGGCAGATCACGAGGTCAGGAGATTGAGACCATCCTGGCTAACACAGTGAAACCCCGTCTCTACTAAAAAATACAAAAAATTAGCTGGGCGAGGTGGCGGGCGCCTGTAGTCCCAGCTACTCGGGAGGCTGAGGCAGGAGAATGGCACAAACCCGGGAGGCGGAGCTTGCAGTGAGCTGAGATCCAGCCACTGCACTCCAGCCTGGGGGACAGAGCGAGACTCCGTCTCAAAAAAAAAAAAAAAAAAAAAAAAAAAAGATTATCATGCAGGAAACAAAATAGCTTAATAGATATATCTGTGAGTGCCCACACCAAATTGTCTGGGCACCTTTTTGCCTCAGTTTCCTCAACTACCAAATGGGAATGATAATAGCTATTTCATTGTGCAGTTAAATATTTAATATTTATGCTATTAATGGGATATTAAATGTTTATTAATATATAATGCTGGTTGTAATTATGATTAATATATCTGAATTAATATGACATTAGCTGACACATATACTGAGCCCTACTATGTGTCAGAAACTGTGTTGAAGATTAACATAGACTTATGCAATTACTTAATCTTCACAATAATCTACTATGTAGACATTAATATTATTACTATTATTTGATTTTATAGGGGAGGTAACTGAAGCTTAGAGAGGTTATGTAACTTGGTGAACTAGAAAGATAGGTGACTTTTTTTCTTTAAAAAATGTTTCAAGGGTTGTGGCGGGGGAAAAAATGATTCAAAGGCATTATTAATTGTTGGAAAGAACATTTACAGAGGAGGGTATAAGTGTACTTGCTTGAATTACTTGGAATTTCTTAGCTAATAGATGCCATTTTATCTCATTCCCTTCTTTGAATACAGAGTATATGGCAACAAGTATGTTGCCACATGCATCCTATTTGATGTAAGTAAACATCGATACTAATGAAGTATTCTGAAACTAGTACTTAGAATCTTTTGGATTAATTTAATCTTCTCTGGCTAATTTCAAAACAAACAATTGGCTGCCATTACTGCATTATCTTTTCACATTCAACTTTTCATTACTTTTGACTTTTGAGGAAAATAGAAGAATTGTCAACATTTTACTCTTTATTTCTATTCAACAATATATGCTAGGCTGAGCGCAGCAGCGCCCACCTGTAATCCCAGCACTTTGCGAGACTGAGGCGGGCAGATCACCTGAGGTTAGGACTTCGAGACCAGTCTGGCCAACATGGTAAAACCCCGTCTCTACTAAAAATACAAAAAGTAGCCAGGTGTGGTGGTGCATACCTGTAATCCATACTTCTTGGGAGGCTGAGGCAGAAGAATCACTTGAACCCGGGAGGCGGAGGTTGCAGTGAGCCAAGATCATGCCACTGCACTCCAGCCTAGGCGACAGAGCAAGACTCTGTCTCAAAAACAAAAACAGAAACAAAAACGAATACACTACGGGGGGATTATATAAGTGTTTTGCACAATACCATGTACTACAAGTACTTGGAAAGTGAAGAGTTTTCTGATAATATTTTTCCCTAAATAACTTGCCTATTTTATCTCTTCTTGAAGCTTATCTCTTACTCAGTAAAACTGTCAGAGTATATCAGTAAACAACTTTAAATTTTTAAATTGCCTCCATGCTTTGTATTGTATGCTTTTTTCTCTGTAGATGGCTTGAAATTTATTTTCTTTTTTTTTCTTTTTTTTTTTTGAGACAGAGTCTCACTCTGTCATGCAGGCTGGAGTGCAATGGTGCATCTCTGCTCACTGCAACATCTGCCTCCCGGGTTCAGGTAATTCTCCTGACTCAGCCTCCCAAGTAGTGGAAATACAGGTAAATACCACCACGCCCAGCTAATTTTTGTATTTTTAGGTAGAGACAGGGTTTCCTCATGTTGGCCAGACTGGTCTCGAACTCTCAACTTCAAGTGATCCGCCTACCTCGGCCTTCCAAAGTGCTGGGATTACAGGTGTGAGCCACCATGCCTGGCCTGAGTACTTGAAATTCATGAGTATTGATTTAAAATGCTTCTGACAGCCAGGATTTGTCTATCTATTCATTCAGTTATTCACTTAACATTTTTTGAATATCTACAGTTGTGCCAGAACTTGTATAAGCACCACAAAACACAAAGATGTGTAAGATAATGCCACTGCTTGCAATAAGCTCACATTCTAACATTCAGAATAACTAGCACATAGTAGATGTTCAGTAAACATTTGTTGACTAAATTCAGTGAAAGAGTTGATGAATGAGAGACAGCCATATCAATGAATCATAAAAACCTGACAGGGATGTGTTCAAGCCAGAGGAGATTATGGAAGCTTGGAGGAGGATTACCTGACTACCTAGTCTGAGGGAATCAAAGTTCGTAGAAGAGATAATGCATAACAGGAGTCTTGACGAATAGGAGCTTAAAGAATTAGAACAGTGTGAGCAAAAATAGGTAAGCACTAGAAACAGCAGTCAGGCATAAGGCAAAACAAAATGAAACAAAAATGATTAAAAAAAAAAAAAAAAAAAAAAAAAGCCAGGCATGGTGGCATATGCCTGTGGTCCTAGCTGCTTGGAAGGCAGATGTGGGAGGATTGCTTGAGCTTAGTAGGTCAAGGCTGCAGTGAGTGTTGATCATGCCACTGCACTCCAGCCTGGGTGACAGAGTGAGATTCTGTCTCAGAAAACCAAAAAATTAAAAAATAAAAATAAATAAATAAAAAGAAACTGCTGCCAGGGAGACAGCAGAAATTGAAACTGGAGAGATTGATAGGTATCATCTTATGAAGGGCCATGTCATCATCTTATGAACGTGTTCATCATCTTATGAACATGTCTCTAACTTATTGGCCATGTCACTTAAATTTTTTATGTATGTCTCTTGAAACTGGGATAATAGTTTCTTGCTTCTCTTGCTTCTAGTTATTTTGGAGATCAAATAATGTTTGTAAAATAACATCATGTATGTTTTGCTAAAGTAAAAGCACTTTTGAAAGAAACTGGAACGAAGAAAGCCTAGGCATAGGTAATGTACCATAAGGCCAGTTTGGATAAGTACAATTTAGTTGGTTTTTTAACTTGCTTTTCCAGTGGTACTTTTTCTTTTTTTTTTTTTCTTTTTTTTTTTTTTTTTTCAGGCTTTACATTTTGCCAACCCTTGATGTACAAGGAGTTTGAAAAGCGAAAGGGAAGGACAATTCAATATCTATATCAGTTGGCTCTTGAGATTAATAGTAACCCCAGCATCTCTCTGAAACGAAAAAAGAAATTAATTAAGGAATTTCAAAAACACCATCCAGAAGCTTTGAATTAACATTTCTGGTACAATAAACTACATTTTGTAAATATAAACATTTCTCTGGTGGTTTTCTCAAATTGCCATACTTACACTTCAAAGAAAGCATAATCTCAAAAGATTTTAAGTGTTTTATTTTTTATTTTTATTTTGTAGAGACAGGGGTCCCACTATGTTGCCCAAGCTGGTCTCAAACTCCTGGTCTCAAGTCATCCTCCTGGCTTGGCCTCTTAAAGTGCTGGGATTATAGGCATGAGTCACTGTACTTGGCCATTATTTTATTTTTATAAAATATTAATTTTAATTTAATCATGCTTAAAATATGTTAAGGAAGTTTTTAACTTCAAGAAGGAATACAAGTTAGCCTTCATGTTTGCTGATTCACTTAACTACTATGCTGCTAAAATCACTTAATAAATGTGCTGCTATTATTAGGGAACTAGTACAGTTAATTTCATTTTTTTTCCACAGGAAAGGAACTTTTCATACACGAGCTCCCTGAATAAAGCATGCACTTTCCTTAGTATATGATTATTTCAAGCAACCCCCTTAAGCTGCTGTAACTTAAATGACTATGAATCATTGAAATAGGGAAAGATGCATGAAGTAGTTTGTTTTTTTTTTTTTTTTGGGATGGAGTCTTGCTCTGTCCCAAGCTGGAATGCAATGGCACCATCTTCTCAGCTCACTGCAACCTCTGCCTCCCGGATTCAAGCAATTCTGCCTGTCTCAGCCTCCCAGGTAGCTGGGATTACAGGCGCCTGCCACTAGGCCCAGCTAGTTTTTGTAGTTTTAGTAGAGATGGGGTTTCACCATGTTGGCCAGGCTGGTCTTGAACTCCTGACCTCAGGTGATCTGCCCGCCTCAGCCTCCAAAGGTGCTGGGATTACAGGTGTGAGCCACCACACCGGGCCGCATGAAGTAGATTTGAAAGGCCACAAATTAAAAATTCGTAAACATCAAAACTGTGATTTCTGTCTCTAATTCTTCTTCAGTCCATATTTTATGATTATCTTCTTTCCTTCTCATTCTTTCTCTGCTCCTTCCTTTTCTTTCCTCTTTCTCTCTCTCTTTCCAGCTTTTTCACTTTTTTCTTGCCGCCTTCTCTCTGTCTCTTTCTTTGTTTTAAGTTGGTTAGTTCACTCTATGGCATCATTCCCTAATGTAGCAGGGATTCAATACCTATGGAAAGTTTTACACAGAAAAATTCTTTTGGGCCAAGCATAGTGGCCCATGCCTGTAGTCCCAGAACTTTGAGAGGCCAAGGAGGGAGGATTGCTTAAGGCCAGGAGTTCAAGACCAGCCTGAGTAATAGTGAAACCCTGCCCCTATCTCTACAAAAATTACAAAAAAATTTAGCCAGGTGTGGCAGCTCACACCTATAGTCCCGGCCACTCAGGAGGCTGAGGTGGGAGGGTCTCTTGAGCCCAGGAGTTTTAGGCTGCAGTGAGCTATGATTGTGCCACTGTACTACAGCCTGGGCAATAAAGCAAGACCCTGTCTCAAAAAAAAAAAGAAGAAGGGAAAAAGTATTTTGTGGTAATCTTAATTTATATCATTGATCACAGGGAAAGAGAAGCATGATTAATTAAGTTCTTGAAAAAAAATAAACTATATTAGACAGATGTCATCAGTTTTATCTTTTTGTATAAAACCTGTATCAGTCATCTTGAATTAGAACACTTAGTTTCTAAGTTCTCAACTAAGAAGCCAGACATAGTGGCATGTACCTATAGTCCCAACTATTTGAGAGGCTGAAGCGGGAGGGTCCCTTGAGCCCAGGATGTTTAGTTTGTTTGTATGTTTGTTTTTGTAGAGATGGGGTCTCACTATATTGCCCAGGCTGGTCTCAAACTCCCGGCCTCAAGTGATCCTCCTGCCTCTGCCTCCCAAAGTGCTGGAATTACAGTTGTGAGCCACTGTGTCTGGCTGACCACAGGCGTTAGAGGCCAACCTGGGCAACATAGCAAGACCCTGTCTCAGGGGGAAAAAAATTCTCAGCTAAGGCTTGGCCTGGTGGCTCACGCCTGTAATTCCAGCACATTGGGATGCTAATGCAGGAGGATTGCTTGAGACCGGGAGTTCAAGGCCAGCCTGGGCAATGTAGTTTGACCCTGTGTTTACAAAAAATATAAAAATTTTAATTGCTGGGCAGAGTGTGGTGTACCTTGTAGTTCTGACTACTCAGGAGACTGAAATGGGAGGATCACGTGAGCCAGAGTTTGAGGTTTCAATGAGCCATGAGTGTACCACTGCACTCCAGCCTGGGCAACAGAGCAAAACACTGTCTCAAAAAAAAAAAAAAAAAAAAAAAAAAAAATTATTGGCCAGGTGTGGTGGCTCACACCTGTAATCCTAGCACTTTGGGAGGCCAAGACAGGTGGATAACTTGAGGTCAGGAGTTCGAGAGCAGCCTGTCCAACATGGTGAAACCCCATCTCTACCAAAAATACAAAAATTAGCCATGCGTGGTGGTGGGCGCCTGTAATCCCAGCTACTTGAGAGGCTGAGGCAGGAGAATCGCCTGAACCCAGGAGGTGGAGGTTGCAGTGAACTGAGATCACGCCACTGCACTCCAGCCTCAGCAACAGGGAGAGACTCTGTCTCAAAACAAACAGACAAAAATTCTCAACTAAGAGTTTGTGAAAAGGTTTCAAAGGCCCAAAGTACAAGACACTTCATGAAACTATAGGCAGTTTTTTGTGTATCTGTGCTTATGGCATGTTTCTAGGAAGACAATCCATGGCTATCAGCAAAGTTTCACGAGGACTGTGGTGCAAGCACAGTAAGAACCACTGGGTTCAAGAATCTAAAAGTCTTTCTTGATGTATATTTATATATTTCCCAAATTTTGCTTTTACCTTATGGATAAACTATTAAATATCCCAATGTTATATTAACATAAGAGCATTGGCTGGATGTGGTGGCTCATGCCTATAATCCCAGCACTTTGGCAGGCTGAAGTGGGTAGATTGCTTGAGCCAAGGAGTTCCAAGACCAGTCTGCACGACATGGCAAAACCCCATCTCTACTAAAAATGCAAAAATTAGCCAGGCAAAATGGTGGGTGCCTATAGTCTCAGCTGCTCAGGAGGCTGAGGTGGGAGGATCACTTGAGCCCAGGAGCAGAGGTTGCTGTGAGCTGAGATTATGCCACTGCACGCCAGCCTGGGCAAAAAAAAAAAAAAAGGCACTAAGCTAGATGACTTCTAAGTTCTTCCTACTTAAAAAAAAAAAAAAAAAGAAAAAGAAAGGCTGGGCGTGGTGGCTCACACCTGTAATCCCAGCACTTTGGGAGGCCAAGGCAGGTGGATTACCTGAGATCAGGAGTTCGAGACCAGCCTGGCCAACATGGTGAAACCCTGTCTCTACTAAAAATACAAAAAAATTATCTGGGAGTGGTGGTGCATGCCTGTAATCCCATCTACTTGGGAGACTGGGACAGGAGAATTGCTTGAACCCAGCAGGCAGAGGTTGCCGAGATGGCGCCATTGTACTCCAAGCCTGAGTGACAGAGCAAGACTCTGTCAAAAAAAAAAAAAAAAAAATAGCAACCCAATTATATGACACTAGAAGATAAAACTGCCCTAATCTGCGTATGGCTTTTTTTAAAGTTGGGGAGGAAGTTAATATACTTCCAGTGGAAGACCTGAGAGGGTACCTGAAGAGACACCAGGAAAATACTGGAAATATGCCACCAAGCCCTCTTCAATAGAAGAGTCTCCTTATTCGGAAAATTGCCATTTTAATGTTCACTGTGAATCAGGTGGGGATTTGCTAGTCATCACTATGAATGGTGGATACTTTGACAAATGCTTTAAGGTTATTACTATGTCCTTGCATCTGCTGTTCAGAAAATTATAACCTTATATCTTCGCACTGAGCCTCAGTTTTTTAAAAATCTCTAAAATAAAAATACACATGCACAGATTTATATTTTTAAGATTGAGATATTCCTTTAATAGTTTAAGATTGAAACAAAGAAATAAAAAATGAAATAAATTTTTAAAAAAATTTTTAAGATTCCACCAGATAATACCAAAGGTACCTTCCAACTCTTTGATGGATAACAGTCATCTCTCCATCTGTAAATAGTGGGTTTGTGAGGGAGAATGTGTGGTAACAAGAATATGGGCTCTGCAGTCTACAATTCAATGCAGTTTCCATCAAAATACTACCATCGTTCTTTACAGAACTAGAAAAAAAAAAAAAACCCTAGGCCAGGCACAGTGGCTCACACTTGTAATCCCAGCACTTTGGGAGGCCACGGACAGGTGGATCACCTGAGGTCAGCAGTTCGAGTCCAGCCTGGCCAACATGGTGAAAACCCATCTCTACTAAAAATACAAAAATTAGCTGGGTGTGGTGGCACATGCCTGTAGTCCCAGCTACTCAGGAGGCTGAGGCAGGAGAATCGCTTGAACTCGGGAGGTGGAGGTTGTGGTGAGCCAAAATCATGCCACTGCACTCCAGCCTGGCTGGTGACAGAGCGAGACTCCATTTCAAAAAAAAGAAAAAGAAAATCCTGAAATTCATATGGAAACAAAAAAGAGCCTGCATAGCCAAGGCAAGACTAAGTAGAAAGAACAAATCTGGAGCCATCACATTACCTGATTTTAAACTATACTATAAGGCCATAGTCACCAAAACAGCATGGCACTAGTATAAAAATAGGCACATAGACCAATGGAACAGAATAGAGAACCCAGAAATAAACCCAAACACGTATAGCCAACTGATCTTCGACAAAGCAAACAAAAACAGTAAGTGGGGAAAGGACACCCTCTTCAACAAATGGTGCTGGGATAATTGGGAAGCCATATATAGCCACCTTACTCCCACAGAATGGCCATAATTAAAAAATCAAAAAATAATAGATGTTGGCATGGATGTGGTGAACAAGGAACACTTCTGCATTGGTGGTGGGAATGTGAACTAGTACAGCCACTATGGAAAATGGTGTGGAGATTCCTTAAAGAACTATAAGTAGAACTATCATTTGATTCAGCAATCCCACTA